AGGCTAACCGCACCTTGTCGTGCATCTACAGATGCATCATGAGCAGGTCCAAGGAGGTGATCATCCCCCTCTATGCGACACTTGTTAGGCTTCGGGTGGAGTACTGCGTCCAGTTCTGGCTGCTGCCCTTCAGGAGGGATGTGGATAGCATCGAGAGGGTCCAGAGGAGGGCCAGTCGTATGATCAGGGGGCAGCACGGTAGGCCCTATGAGGAGAGACTACGGGACCTGAACCTGTTCAGCCTACACAAAAGGCTGAGAGGGGATCTGGTGGCTGCCTACAAACTTGCCAAGGGGGACCAGCAGGCAATGGGAGAGTCCCTGTTCCCCCGAGCACTACCGGGAGTAACAAGGAATAACGGCCATAAGCTGACTGAGAGTAGGTTCAGGCTAGACATCAGGAGGCACTACTTCACTGTCAGGGCAGCTAGGATCTGGAACCAACTTCCTAGGGAGGTGGTGCTCACCCCTACCCTGGGGATCGTCAAAAGGAGGCTAGATATCCACCTAGCCAGGGTCGTTTGACCTCAACATTCTTTCCTGCCCACGGCAGGGGGTCCGACTTGATGACCTGCTTAGGTCCCTTCCGACCCTACCAACTATGAAACTATGAAGCCTTTTTAATACTGTGGACCAGCACAGGAGTGGGACGGGGCTCACGAAGCTGGCTGCCTCCCTAACCGGGGCTGCCCCACCTCCCAGCTTTAATCCTGCATGTGACTGCCAGCAGCAGAAGCCACACACCTGGGCGAACAGACCAGGGTCCAAGCAGGGGGTTCATGCCACGACCTGGCAGCCAACCCTTCACAGCCCAGTACCAGGCCATGGCCCAGTGGTTGGGAACCTGTGCTATGGATTGTCTAGCCTGCTACACCAGAGAGAGAAAACCCAGGACTATGTCACAGGATTTTCTTGTGGCTTAGTATCGGAATAGATCAGGCCTTGCGATTACCTGTGCATGACAAAAAAAAAAAAAAAAAGAAGAGGGAATGGGATATTGCAATAATTCAGATTGCCCTGCAGAGTAATGAATCTCTTCTCTGGAGCATGAATTTCACTGGCTATAGAAGACAACTTCAACACTAGCTTTGATAAACTTGGCCCTGTGATATGAAATGAATGGTAAATTAAATAAGAATCAATAGCAAGTTAGAAAGGCTTGGCCCTTTTAAAAAAGGGGATCATAGTAGGGAAAGATCTGGCAGTTCCCTGCCTTATGTAACATTCAAGACATAGACAAAAATATTTGATTTTTGAAAGAAGGGAATGTGCTATTTTTTAAGTATGTTACGTCCTGTAACTATCTGGTTTGTTAACTCAGTTGTCAGACTGAAAAAGGAAATGTTAAAAACATATGAAAATATTTAGTCTGAACTAATAGCTTTGGGTCTGATTCTGCTCGGC